CCGTGCCTGACACTGTGTACCACAGCAGTAGAGCGGCTGGCACCCTACTTTTTAGGGAAGGAAATTTCATTTTGGGATCTAGAATTTTTGATAAATGTGTAGTATAGAAGGTAGAACTACAACAGTTTGATTTATATATTTTAGGGAGAAGTAGATATTTATTTGGGGAAATTTGAGGAGAGAGAATGTGATTAAAGTTTGTTGAAAATAAGGGCAGAGCTGGCAGATGATGAAAACAGTGCTCTGTGCAACATAATCTTGCAAAGGCTCCAATACCCAGGAAATAGGAAGGAAGGCCTTGGAGCCACTGGCCACACCTGGGCCAGTCCCAGAGACGATGCCACCAAGCAGCCAGAGCCTGGAGTGAGAGCCCTGGAGTTGATTCTGATGTCTTCTTTTTTGACTTCTGGCCCCAATCTTGTCCCTTGAGGCACAGTTTGGTAATTCCTAGAACAGAGGAGGTCATTTTAGCCCTGATGGTAACTACGTAGAATCTCTCCAGGTTTCCCCAAGCTGAATTCTGCCTCCCTGGGCTCACTTTCCAACACTTACTGCCCCACCCCTGATCCAATTATCTTCTGTGAACAAGCAGCTCTTGAACACTTCCCAGAAGTCAGCAGCCTTTGCATTCTCTGCCGTTGCCCTCGATGCTTCCATGGGCCGGAAGGCGCCTTCTTCTCCCCAGACAGAGCTGGACACTGCTCACCTGTCAAGGACGGGCTCACGCCTGCCTTCCTCTTAGCTTCTTTCCCTGATATTCCCTGGTAGTCTATTCTATCTCTCTCTTTCCCTTGTTTTCATAGAAAAAGCTGAGTATATAATGGATACTCTTTGATCTTATGAAATGAATACATTAATGCTCATTTATATAGATCCCTGGAAATATTATTAACCCCAACTATTATTTATGTGATGGATATTATTAATCACTAACAATTTACTCGTTAGAGCTCACGGGCACTTCTGGGTAGTGTAGCAAATGTGAGACCCACTGAACCTGCCTTAATCTTGTCTGAGAGTGTTGCTTATATCTAGTATTTATAAATTAGAAATAAACTTTTAAAATCTAGAAACTATTTTTATAAAACACACTATTTAATATTTAGTAATAATCTAAATACAAAATATGCAAAGATATGGGTCTGATTAATCAGGAGATCTGCTTCATGTTTCCAGGCTGTATCTGCTTGACACGGCCACACTGTTTAATTTCATAGCCCATCTAAACCTGGCTCTTCACCTCCAACTTAGCATGCTAATTTCAATGGTGCAACAATTGTTAATTTGAAATCCAAATGTTGGTTCATCTCCCTTTTGTCTGCACTGGCTAAGGGCGGATATGAAGATCAGCTCTAAATCGGCCCCTCTGAGAAAGCAGTAGAGGGGGTGGGGGTCTGGGCATCTCTGTTCCTGACTTGGACAATCTTGAGCACATCAGACCAGGTGTGTAACCCTGAGACTGTGCACCGCTGGCCACTTGGAGG